CTTCCCTTGGAACCAGCAATGGAAGGGAAGCTAGGTCTAGAAGGAAGGGCGGACTGGACTGAAGGTCAACAGAGGCCTCCCTACAGACCAGAGAAAGTTCTGAGGTTCTGAACTGAGTTCCCTCGGCAACAATCCCATCACACTGGGAAAGTCAGTGCAGGCCCTGCTGCTGCAAAGCCCAGGCCAGGGGCAGCTTCTGCACTTGTCTGTCATCAGTGGGACATGCCACCAAACCACAAGTAAAGCTATATGAAGGCCATGGTTGCTGGGGTCTCTGTCCCCCTACCAGGTGTTCCAGATTGTGTGTCCAGTCAGCAAGCTGTGGGGCATCTTCTTCCCAGCTTCTGACCTCCACAAACCCTGTCAGGTGCTTGACAACATTAGCTAAGTTCCTGCCTGGGCATTCCTTTGGAGGCCCAGTACTGACGAGTCTGCATGTCATCCTTGCTGAGGGTGGCAGGAACTGGTCTCTCTGCTGGACACAATGACTCAAGCTTAGCTCAGTTTTTTGGGTGATGGCTCTTATGGGGACTATACATAGATCACTGTACAGAAATACAGAAATGAAGGTGCCACCCACCATGATTGTGCAAGTCACTTCTGGCCCTGGACTGGTGTGACTTCCCTGTCAGTGAAGGCCCTGGGTGGGAAGGAGCTCCTGGCACGATACGGGCCTGCCCCTCTCAGCTTCTTCCTGGCCTGCACAGCGTGACATCCATATAGAGTTCTGAGTGACAGAGCTGCTGTTCCAGACACCACAGCATGATGAAGGAACCCTTTCCCCTAGAAAATTTCTAGTTCCTTAACAGTGTGCACTTGGCCACAAGGGGGCGATAAAGGCACAGTTACCTCAGGGCTTCTAGAGGTGCCTCACCAAGGAGCGTTTTCAGGCGGGCTAGCATGCTGTCTTGACTCTTCCCTAGGCAAGCTGGCTATAGGGAGTGGCCACTTCCTCTTCTTTAGCAGGACTCTGAGCTTGAGGAGTTTCACAAAGGTATAGGAACTTTTGTGTTCCCTGTGGGCTTCCCTTTTGTGTGTGGATCTGATACTATCTTTGATGACGGAGAATGTGGTGGGAGATGGCTTTGGAGACACTGTAGGTAGTGGTTTCAGTTCACAGGAAAACTGAAGTTCTTCCTTCTTCTTGTGGGTTCTTCTTCCAGTGGGCATATGACACCCCAACTCCAGAGGCCTCACAGAGACAGGGTACCTTCTAAGTTCTTCTGGGTTCCCATGGTGGGGTAAGGCCTGAACCCCAACTCCAGAGGCCTCACAGAGACAAGGCACCTTCTAAGGTCGTCTGGGCTCCCGTTGGCGGGGTAAGGTCTGCAATAAGGTTTTGTGGGAGACACAGAGTGAAGACAGTTATCTTCTTGGGGTGAGAGACTGGTGTTGTCTCCAGCTACAGAGCCCCTGAGATACCATTTCAAGGTGGAACTGTCTGTGACAGGATCTTCTATGGCTATCTGTGACTTCAGAAGAACACTGTTTGTACTCAGTGCTTAGAATCCCAGTTATTCCCAGACAGCAGGGGCACAACTATGCCTATGGCTTTATAAATATTAGGGAGAACAGCAGGTTTTGTAGAAAAGGGGAGCTGAGATGGGATTCCCCTTTGTTAGGAGAGAGAGACTCAGGACCATGGGTAGTCAGGATCAGACCTTGACATGGAAGAATAGATCATCAGGAGAGAGAGCATTGGTCCAGAGGCATCAGGATGAGGCCCTGAGGGGAGAGAGAGCACCTTCAAAGTCCTTAAGGGAGCTGCATCAGAAGAGACAAACTACTACATGAAGGAGTCCTGAAGGAAGGACCTTCCATCCCTACGGACAGTGGGGGTTTCTGAGTCTCATAGGATTTCAGTGTGAGGCCCAGAGGCAAACTCCATATCATATCCTAGCCTGGCCTGGTCTACATGCCAGGCACGAGAAGTCAAGAAAGCACTAGATAAGAATGAAGCTATAATTCAAGGTTGTCCTTGGTCCAGAGATTGGAGGCTGGACTTGTTCACAGCTGCAAGTGGAAGGGAGAGAAATGAATTCCCTATGAGGGCTGCAAGGTTACAATTTTATCATGTTCTGTCCCAGAAATAGAGCTGTGGGGGTGGGGATGGCATACAGCCTGAGGGGGGAGGGACAACCTCTGGCCTGTGACCCAACAAGTGGTCTGGAGATAAGTTTTGAGTGTATGGTGGGATGTGTGTATACTGTGTAAATGGTAAATAAACTATTTTCTATATAAAGGACTTGAACTTCTTTGGATTTTGATGACTGTAGTTGTCTTAGGTTTCTCTTGCTGTGAAGAGACACCGTGACCACGACAACTCTTATAAGTGAGACATGTCATTGGAGCTGGCTTACAGTTTCAGAGACAAGGCACCAAGTCCATTACGTCATGGTAGGAAATATGGTCGCATGCATGCAAACATGGTGCTGGAGAAGGAACTGAGAGTTCTGTGTCTTGATCCACAGGCAGCAGGAGGCAAACTGAGACACTTTTCCTCCAGCAATGCCACACCTACTCTAACAAGCCCACACCTCCTAATAGTACCACTGCCTATGAGCCAACAGGGAAAATTACATTCAAATTATCACCTTGGGACCAATTTTCTTTGGATACCAAGAGACTGCTATATTTCCCCTATCTATCTATCTATCTATCTATCTATCTATCTATCTATCTATCTATCTATCTATCTATCTATCTCTGTATCTATCTATCTCTGTATCTATCTATCTATCTATCTCTGTATCTATCTCTGTATCTCTGTATCTATCTCTGTATCTATCTATCTATCTATCTATCTATCTATCTATCTATCTATCTATCTATCTGTCTGTCTCTGTATCTATCTATCTCTGTATCTATCTATCTATCTCTGTATCTATCTATCTCTGTATCTATCTATCTATCTCCTTTGTATCTATCCATCTATCTATCTGTCTCTGTATCTATCTATCTATCTATCTATCTATCTATCTATCTATCTATCTATCTCTGTATCAATCTATCTGTCTTTCTTTAAGTAGATGGTCTTCACCAGTATCTTCTTGACTTTTGGCACATTGGCTTGGTCACGCTGAACCTCCCTTGCGCCCCTCAGAAGGGAAGGCCTATGAGTCAGAATTTTGCCAGACAGAATTGAAGGTAGTACAGTGTCCTTTTTCTCCTAATATTTTGCCTCTCTAAGGCTTCGTAATGGCTGCCTGTGGCCTTGAGCCATCCTCCTAATAAACCCCTCTGAAGGGAGAGCTCCTGCGTCCTCTCTGTGAACATGCCATTATTTTCTCTTATCTAACATTCTAATTGTCTACATTTTTTCCTGTATCATCTTCTACAAGTTTTATGATTTTCTGTTTAATACAATTGGGTTAATGTTTGAATGGATATAAGGTCATTTTTTTTTCACATGAATGTCTAATTGTTCTAGGACCATCGGCTAGACCTAACATTTTTCTTCAGTGTATGACTTTATCTCTCATTGAAATTTAGTTGTTATCTAGTGGGTCCATTCTGAGCTCCCTATTCAGTTCCATGGAGGCATTTGTCTGTCTCTCCACCAACCCTTCATTGTCTTGTTTCCTATAGCTTTATAGTAAGTCCTGAAGCAATGACAGTTTTCTATATTAGCTCCTCTCTTTCAGAGTCCAGAGTGCCAGCCGTTAGACCATGAAACTAATCCTGTTCTTTTCTTCCATATTTTGCTGACTACTCCAGATCTTTTTCTTCTTCACACAAACTTTAGAAAACAAAACATTATTCATAGCAACAACTTAGTTTGCAAAGACTTTGACTGAAATTATATGGGATCTAAAGACTGGGTTGGAAATGACTGTGATTTTGATGTATAGTCTGGCTATCCATGAACAAGGAATATTTTCTCTTTTATTGAATTCTTTGTTTTTTTATGAAGTTTTTGTAGCTTTTTTGATATATATCTTTATATACTTTGCTAAATTTATACCTAAATATTTCACTGAATACCCGAGTATCCAACCTTTTTATGTTAATGTAATTGGTATTTTGTTTTAAATTTCAAATTTTATGTAGTCATTGCTAGTAATAGAAGAAAGTGAATGACTTAACATTTTTTATTTACTTATTATTTTTAGGTGGTATATGTGTGTGTGTGTGTGTGTGTGTGTGTGTGTGTGTATAAAAGGGCATGCATGCTATGGTGTGTATGTGGAGGTCAGAGGACAGCATTGTGGGGTTGATTCTCTTCCTCCACTTTCACAAGTGTTCCAGGGTTTGAACTTAGGTCACCTTTGGACCACTGAGCCATCTCACTGGCCTGTGATCGACTTTTGCATATTAACTTAGGATCTTGGAAATTTACTTTAATTGTGTATTAGATCAAAGATAGTTTTCACTGCCATGCAGGAGTATGTAAGCAAAGGCAGTTTTGTTTTCCTTCCTAAACAATATTTTATTGTATTTTCTTGTTTTTATTAGTTGGGACTCCCTTTCTGTTGTCCCAGTGAGGCCAAGGAGAGCAGGAATGAGGCAGGCAGTGTCCACAGGGCAGTGGATTGAAGTGTTCAAAAATTGTCTCAGAGGGACAGATACAGATGAGGTACACTAAACTGACCAGCTGTTGTCACTGGCCAGCTGTTGTCACTGGCCAGCTGTTGTCGCTGACCAGCTGTTGTCGCTCACCAGCTGTTGTTGCTCACCAGCTGTTGTCGCTGACCAGCTGTTGTCGCTGACCAGCTGTTGTCGCTGACCAGCTGTTGTCGCTGACCAGCTGTTGTTGCTGACCAGGTGTTGTTGCTCACCAGCTGTTGTCTCTCACCAGCTGTTGTTGCTGACCAACTGTTGTCAGTGACCAGGGTCTGTACAGAAATCATCTCTGAAGCATGGTAAGTCCTCGGGTCCAGGAAGCCTGCTCCCCCCATTGCCTTCCTGGGCAGAGTCAGATGTCCAGAAAGCTCTACCAATGTGTTCTTTCTTTCCTTCTCGTCACAGCTGCTCAACCTCTGCTTGTTTTATCCTCACAGATCCGGACGAAGGACAGGGTCTTTGACAGCATCAGCCACCTCATCCACTACCATCTTGAGAGCGGCCTGCCCATCGTGTCCGCCGGGAGTGAGCTTTGCCTCCAGCAACCTGTGGAGAGGAAGCACTGAACTGACCCAGAGCCCTCCCTCTGCCTTGTGCCAGGTCAGGGGACCTGGGCTCCACTGCTCTCAGCCTATGGGAACTGGAGCAGCTGTCTGTGGGCTTATCACCCTTACAAAAGCCCCCCCCCCACTCCAAGGGAAATTTCCTTTGAGGTCAAATTTCATAAACGTGTTCCACACATCTCAGATGCGTATTAGAGGTGTATATACCCACACATCCTGTACAAACGGCCCCTATATTTATATTTTTTAAGACTAAGAAAGATGTGAGATGAATGCTCTATGCTGTATGTTTTTAGTGAGAGGCAAATTTTGACTATAGTTGTTCAGGCAAAACTTTGAATTCAACTGGCCTACTGGGAAGCTTTGCTAGGAAGGTGTAGCCTGCAGTTCTATATAATAAGCACAACACAGGGGAATGCAGGTGAGCTGGCAGCTCCGGGACAAGCAGACTTGTGATAGAATATGACAGCATGCTGCCCAAACATCTGCCCCTGCCCTACAGCTCCATGTGAGTGCTGATTCCAGGCTGCAGCTCTGCTCACAGATGGAGGTGCCTCCTCCAGTTCTGGCTTCCTGGGTGCTGCCTCCCATGCCCCAGATTGACGCCATGGAAGTGAGTTTTCTGTCTCATGATGACCCACTAAAGTCCCACTCCAAATCAGGTGGTACTCTGCCTCTTTTCCTGGGTCATGTTTTAGGTCATGTTAGACCCATGTTGTTTGGGTCATGGGGACCTGTCACCTTTAACCCTGATTGTGTGTGTGTGTGGATTTGTGGCATTCATTTGAGGCCCAGGATGGTACACAATAAGGCTTAAGAGCTCTAGTTGACGCTTCCTTTGCTTTCGTCAGCGTAGTGATAGAATGAATGTCTGCGAAAGGCAGGATGTGGAATGTGTTCCAGGTCTGCATGTCCTTCGAGCCAGTGTGCTCGCCACAGACTGTGCAGGGAACGTCCTGGTGAGATGGCCTCCCACCTACCTCTTGTATTCAGTAGAACAAAAGGCATGGGTAAGAACCCTGCAAGGCAGGTACCAGCTACTGCCCAGAATTGAACCTTCGAGACACACCCACTGTCTGTTCCTCCCATTTCCGTGTATGCTCAGCACCAGGCTCCAAAGCCTTTGGTACTAGCTGGAGTGAGGGATGGTAAGCCATCTCCCCTCCTCTCCACATTTTCTCAGTAGCCCAATGAAAAGTAACCAAGCCCATGGCCCTCTGTCTTGACCCTTTTTCTCCCAGCTCAGAAGCTGTTGATTCATGAGGGGTGATTTCATCTTTCAAAGTTGGCTGTGTCTATGACTTTTTTTTTTTTTTTAAAAAAAAGGTTGTGATCAGTCTGTGACTTAGCAAACACAGGCAGATGATGCATTTGCTGGTTGGCACCTCCTCATAAGACTACAGCCTGGCCGCTGGTCCCTGTGAGATCCCATGTGTGTGGCAACCCGGCCAGTAAGCTAGGACTCTGTACATTTTAGGGTTGAATGGTCATAAACTGGTTGATTTAAGAGGAATTGTGTGTGGAGGGGTGTAGAGAGGGGGTCTAGTATTTAAGAACACTGACTACTCTCCTAGAGGACTTAAGTTCAGTTCCCAGCACCCACATGGCAGCTCACAACTGTAACTTGCATCCAGGGTATCTATCTCCTCTGCTGGCCTCCATAGGTACCAAGTAGGCACATGATGCCTATACACACTTACAAGCAAAAAACCCATACGTATGAAAATATTTTTTAAAAAGTAGTTAAATGGAAACCTAATCATTAGGCAAATCAGGGTTCTGCATGGCTCTAATGCTAAGCATGTGAACCCTGCTTTTGCTGCTGTGTAGTCAGTTAGGTGCTAACGGTGAGTCTGGGTGGAGAAGATCCCAGGCTCTGTACATGAACACTTCTTTGCAGTTTTTACCCTGTGAGGACCCACTGAATCTGAGTTGGCAGTAGAATATTCTAGAACTAGAATTCTGGGGAGCCTGGCATTAATACTCACCATCCTACTGCCACCTGAATGTGGATGAAGCCCTGGAGATGAGCAGATACACTGGCAGCCCCTGGCTCAGGCTCTCTCCCTGTTACCATACACATAGGCTTTGGGGTACTCCTAAGAGTCACCCTGCACTCTGCCTCTCAGGAGGCTATGCCTTGTGCACCTACATGCAGGTCTTGCTGCTCCTGTGTATGAATATAGACTGCTTACAAAAATATGTGTAATTGCCCTTTCCCCCCATTCTTGAATTCCACTTTGTGCAAGGCTGAAATGCCTGTGTTCAAGTCACCCGTAAAGTGTTCCAGACCGTGAGGCACCCCCATCGTTTTGTTCTCCTCTCCAGGGAAGTTAAAAAGCTGCACTCAGAAGTTACATTTGCTTCCTCTGAAGTCAGGGTGATAGGGTTTATAGGAATCCATTTAGAAAATTTAAAGTATCGGGACCAATGTTTTTCTTTTCCATTTTAATTCAGAATATGTAATTTTGATCTCAGATTGCAGGCTGGACGTATGTATGCTTAGGAAAGTCTTTCCAACACAGGGTAGGCTGTAGAGGGTGCCCATGGCAGCCATGGTCTGACCTGTATTCCATATGAAGCATGTCAGAAGTCACACAGGCTTATTACTTCCTTCTACAAACACTGTGTATGTGATGGGACATTCTCTCAAATATCATTTACACATGGGGAAACTGAGGCTCACTTCAGGTTCCTTGGTCAGCTAACAGCAGAACCATTCTGCTCACTCAGCATTTTCTGTGCACAGCTGTCTGCTAGTCTGTGCTTCGAGGCCAGAGCTTGGAGTCAAACCCCAAAGAGCCTCTTCTTTGAGCCTGGGCTCCTCTTCCCTTGGTTTCCAGCCCGTATCTGCCTGAGCAGGGTTACAGGCTACACAGTAGCAACTCCAGGCGGAACAGCACTGTATTGTGCATTCAGGCCTTTGACTCCCAGGCACAGTCTATACCAGGTGTGAGCATGCACAGTGTGCCTGGATCCTGTGCTCCTTCTTCGGGCATCCTGCCACGCCACCCAGAACTCTGCATCTATTAGTGGTGCATGATGGAGATCAGCAGCCTTAAAGCAGTGTGTCTGCTCTTGCACAGTGGCCCTGAAGCCCCCCGCCTAGTCCCTCCTTCCACGCTCTCCTGGGAGAGTTAGCTGCGCTTCAAATAACCTCTCCATACTGGCAAGGCTGGCTGGGCCTCTCATGGGGCTGTTCATCATCGTCTAGGTTGGCTCTGAACTTCTCCCTCCACCCTAAGGTAGGCAATCTGCTAATGCCATATTTAAATAGCTCAATCTTAAATCTACACTTACATTCCCATATGTCCTTTTTGTATTTAAAGGACCAAGAGCTGGGTGCCTGCTCAGCCTCGATGAGCAGCTATCTGTTACAGGCCATCTCGGATGGATTGATGCCAAATAGGCCACATGTGGCAACCGGGAGGTTCTCCTGGCAACCTCCTTCACAGAGGCACTGTGAAGGCTGTGGTGAACCATGAGTGGAGGGAAAAGTCTAGATTGGAAAGGAGGAAAGGACAAGGGAGAATGAATTCTCCAAAGCCTGTAGACTTCAGGTCACAATTGCCAGGTGTCCAGGCTCCATGTCCACCCTGGTGTCCTGAAAATGCCCACTTTTCCAAAAGGAAGCTTTTTTCCCCTTGGCATCAGACACCTGGGAGGCTTCCTTCCTTTGGGGCGTGGTTGTAGAGTGGACACCTCATTTCCATGTTAGAGCCAGTATCACGTCCTCTTCTTGATGGAGTAAATTGAGTAGAAACTCAACTTGGCTGCGATAATGGCGCAGCAGTGGCCACAGCAGCGAAGCTCAGCGCCAGCGCAAGTAGAACAGTGTGGCTGTGGCTGCTGGGTGGGTTCTCTGAGCTGTAGCGCCTGCCTACCCTAGGGCTTTCCTCAAGGAGTGGTATGAACTGATAACCACGCGAAGTGCATGGAAGGTGACTTCCTGGGGTTCTTCATTCACAAGAACCATTTCTCTTCTCCCCCACAGGCCAGACATGCCATGCCATCTATAAACAGCTCTGTGCATGGCGACAGCCAGATTTTAAGTAGGAGGAGGCTAGAAGGATTGCAAAAGAGACCACGTGCCCAGACAAATCCGTGTGATGCTAGTTCTTAGGAAACATTTGAAGCCCTTTCCAAGAAAGCGCAGATAAACCCCACTCCTGGAACATATTACAAACCTAAAACTCGTGGCTTTGCCTGGGATAATGGACATGTTTCCAAGGCAGCTCAGCTGTCTTGGAGGGGCCTTGTTTTTCAGGTGAAGAAACTGAGTCAGGCAGTGGATGGCAGTGGTCAGTGCCAGATCTAGGAAAGAACCCAGGACTTACTAAGGCCCCCTGAGGCTCAAACATGTAGCTCACTCTATGGAGGCAACAAGCCGTCCATTTCAAAACACATGAAGGACTGAGCAATTCGCATGAGAAACAGGATTTACGGTTGGTGACATCACTGATGTTCTCCCAAAAGGAGGCATCAGATGCGTTCTGGATATTTTGGAAATGATCCTAGGAGTCAGGAGGGAACTGGCTAATAAGGAATGGTTGCATTGTGGAGTATGTTTCCACAAAGTGTACACCCGGGGCATCTACCTGCTGCTGAGCCTTGGGAGCAGACCTGGACCTGAGGTCATGGAGAGGGCGGGGAGGAGCTCCACCGCAGCCAACACGAGTGGAAGGCTATCTCCAGCGATTTCTGCCCTGCCCGTGTACACCCACGCACGCTCTGCAAGCTGGGACATGCTGGGGCGAGGCTGGTGTTTACAATAAACAGTCTCAGAGCGGAAGGCAGATATTGAAGCACCAGGCTGCTTAGCCCACACAAAGATTTCAGGGTTCTGCCCCTCGAGCTCCCCACTCAGTGGGCCTAGAGTGCGGGGTGCATACTTGCATTTTTCAGTTTGAGGATGTGCCGATGCTAGGGGTCTCGGCTTTGACAGGGACTGGCGAGAGTCTCCAACCCTTCCTTGACTTTTACTGGCAGCCCCCACTTCCCTGCCCCACCCCCACTTTTTTATGAAGAATTTTTCACACCATTTTGTGTCATAGATCCCAGGTCCATACTGTGAATTTAAAGATGGAGAACTAATAAGTACTTGTAACCCCCTGCAAGCGTAGCTGGCAGATAAAATGCCATCTGCCCGACAAGATGCATTTATAATGGGATTTATGAATATTTATAAGTTTGCGAGCGGCAAAGGCACTGTTTGAAAACTGGCACATCTGATGGCAGCCAGGAAAAAACACAGCTCGCAACTTTATACCAGAGTGTGAGCTGCGCATGCGTGTTATACACAGACACAAAATTCCCTCGATTCAGATGGCATGTGCGCCTCCAGCTCAACCCTGTACTGGGTGTCCTGAGCCTCTGGGCTTTTCTAACGCGCACAACTGTAAATCAAAATGGCATCAAGAGATCGGGGATTAATGGGCTCTCAGCAGACCCAGGGAACAAGGTTCTGGGTGCTGTGGAATTGTGAGACTGTGGCGCACAAACGGGAGGAATGGGTTGCAAGGAGAGTGAGGGAGGCGTGTCACTGTGGGCCAAGGCAGAGGGAGAGCCAGCCAGCTATAGCCAGGCATGTCTGTAATCCCAGCATTTTGCGCAGTAGAGGCTGGAGGATCGGAAGTTCAGGGCCAACCAGGGCTATATCAGGCCATGTCTCAGCAGAATTAAACAGGGTGGGGAGCAGTCAGCAGAAGACAAGGAAGGGGCAGATGTTAGATTGAAAAAAGAAGAGCAGATGAAACACCTGCAGACCCACATCTTTCCTGACTCCGGCACAGCCAGACTTGGCTTGCCAGCCTTCCTGGCCACCTTTGTATATTGTGTCCTATGTAACAGGCCCTGGAGGAACTCTGGGAACCCCACCTCTGACACACACAGTGGGGAGAGTGCAGGAGGTCTTTCAGGGCTGGTGTCCCCACACCCAGTTAGGGTCAGGACTGAGCTGGGGGCTCTGAAGGCTTTGCACAGTAGGTGGCGCTGTGGAGCCTGCGACGCAGAAAAGGGAGCAAAAGTTCAAGCTGCAACCCTGCATGGAAACTGCTGATGTCAGCGGGATGTCGAGGACAGACTGAGGACCTGCTTTTCCTCTCACTCAGATGCCCTGGGTGAGTGAATCCCTGAGACCCCCCAAAACACACGTATGATTCTTGTCTTAGGGTGAAAGAGAGAAACCACGGGAAATGAACAGCTTTATTACCCATCGTGCATAGTGAACCATCCTGTGGAGTGAACCTCCCAAAGTACCAATTCACACTGTACCCCGGTTCACACTGCATCCACAAAACTTTCCCACAACCAAAGCCACTAACATTGGAGTCAAATGACAGCTCATAAGGCAGGGAAGAGTGGACTAACCAGGCTTGGGCGAGGAGTTTCTTCTTCTTCTTCTTTTTTTTTAACACTATGTGTGAGTTGTCAAATTGACTGTTCTCTATTCAACAACTTCTGGATATAACTTGTTTCGGAGGATTGTAAAATTATGTGCGTTTCTTTGTATTCAGAATTAAACATTTGATGTTTAAAGACCCCGGATTAGGAGACAGCTCAGCATAAATGTATTGTATAACAAGGTATTTAATAGTTTTTCAAAAGCATTTGGATGGCCATACATATTGATATATGAATATTTGGAATTATTTTGTTTCTGTTAACCTCTGTGAGACACAGTTACTGTAACAGCGATCTGTCTGGGCCTGTGGCCAGCCCACATCCTTCTACTTTGATACCGGCATGGAATTGACTTCCTAAGTCACCCACGAGGAGCAGAAATATAAAACCAATTTCAAGTTTTCTAATATTTTTCTATGATAAAACTTATGTGATTCGGTGAACATTTGGAGATCCCAAGATACAACAGGCATAGGTAATTGGCTTGAACTGCCTTACCGCTAGGGACTCCATCTTGCTCTTTGGGGGACTGATGTCTCATGCCCTTCGCCATGGGCCTGACACACCACACCCAAGCTTCTGGGATAACCAAGTGGACTCAGTGTATAGCATCCCCTCCTCATGGCCCAGGTACGGCAGGGGGCAGGCCGACTACTCTAGACAATGCTGCTCTTCTTGTTATCACTAGGTACTGGAATACGTGCCTTCATCATCTGGACAGACATCCATGCATTCCGGTTTCCATAGCAGCCCCCATGAACCTCTGACTTAGACACTGAAATCATTTGGGTGATGAAGTTTGCACTTGTCCATACAGTTTCCAAAGCATGGAACCAGTGATGTAATTAGACATTTTCTATAAAAAGCAACCTTGTTCCATTTCTGTGAACGGCTTGTTCCCAGCACAGAATAACCCTGGCTCAAAGATTGAGAGAAGCGACCATTTTTAAACAGTTAATTGTTTCAGTGACTATAGGTGTGAGTCTGTTGGCAATAAAGGCTACTGTGAAAGTGTCTCTTGTTTGCATGACGGAACTTACGTTTGTCCAATGCCATTCATGCCTCTATAGAAGTTGGGGGACAACCTGTGGGAGTCAGCGCTCTCCTGGCGTGTGGGTCCTGGGGATCTAACTCAGGCCATCAGGTTTGGTGGCAAGCCAACTCCCCGGCCCTGGATCTTGTAATGCTTCAGAGAAGACAGGAGGATAGATTGGAAGTTTTCTCTAGAAAGCAGCCGTTTTGCTTTTCCTTGGAAGAAGAAAGGGTGACTTGGCAGAAACACTTCCAAAGACTCCCACCAGCATTGTGATCTGGAACACAGATGGCTCTGGGCAGAGAAGGACAGAGCTCACAGTGGAAAGGCTGCCCTGGGGACTTCTAACTACAGGTTATAACAATTGTACTCAATGAAGCATTGGGTCAAACATGGATCCTCTTGTAGGATTCAGGTTAGAGGCTAAAAGTTAGAACTTATGTGGGTCTCCGTCTTTATCTCCCATGAGGAGCAGAAGGAAGGAGAACATGAGCAAGGAAGTCAGGACCAAGAGGGGTGCGTCCACCCACTGAGACGGTGGAACTGATCTAATGGGAGCTCACCAAGCCCAGCTGGACTGGGAGGGATGGAGCATGTGATCAAACTGGACACTCTGAATGTGGCTGGCAATGAAGGCTGACTGAGAAGCCAAGGACAATGACACTGGGTTTTGATTCTACTGCATGGACTGACTTTGTGGGAGCCTGGTCTGTTTGGATGCTCACCTTTATAGACCTGGATGGAGCCGGGAGGACCTTGGACTTCCCACGGGGCAGGGAACCCTGACTGCTCTTAGGACTAGATAGAGAGAGGGGGAGGTGGGAAGGGGGAAGGAAAAGGGAGACAGGGAGGAGGTGGAAATTTTTAATAAATAAATAAAAAGTAATAAAAGTTAGAACTTGTGAGGCAGAGAGCCAATTCCGAGGGCTGGCACTGACTTGCTTACCTGTCTTGCATGGCACGGACAAAGGCCGCCCATTCTGATGCCCTCTGCTTGGACAATGCTTTTATTTTATAATTTCTCCCCTATAAAGGGGCTATTACCATTCTCCAAAACAGGGGACCTAGGCTGGGAAATGGCTCCCTGGGGGATGCCTTGTGCCTATGGAAAAGCCACACTCGGCAGTTTGTGTCTGTAATCCCAGCAGGAGGAAGGCAGATACCGGGGGCTTGCTGGCCAGTTAATCTAACCAGGCGGGCAGCTTCTGGTTCAGTGAGGGGCTCCGTCTCAGAACATAAGGGGCAGAGTAGCAGAGCAAGACACCCAACCTCAACCTCTGGCCTCTACGCCTGCGTGCACAACAACACACATGTGCACACACATGCATCCACCACAGACACACATGCTCATCACCACCACTGCCAACAACAGTAAAACAGTATCTACCCAGACTGGCATCAGTAGCATCCAGTACAAGAAAGCTTCATTCAAACATCATCTACGAGATGGGGCTGGATATAGTGACTGGGTTTCTAAACGTCTTTTTTTCCTGAAATGATGGGAGACCAGGTACCAAGGGAGAAGCCAGACCGTCCCCTTATATCCCCGAATGTCTATTGTGAAACAGTAACAGTCTGCCACACAGACCCCAAGAATGGGTTTTATATGAAGTCTCTTATTTATTATTAATAAACATAAACTGAAAGTAGTAAAGGTTGCTCACAGCCCCAGGTGAGCCCCAAGTTCTCTGGTGTCAGGTCACTTGTTTCTGACTGGCAGGGTGAGGGCTTGGGCAGACTCAGTGTTTGAATGCTGGTGGCCGACTGGCGAAAGCAGTGTGCACCTGCATCCCAGGTGAGCAGCGGATCAGCTTTGGGTATATCAAGTGAACACAGCTGGGTTTTAGTGTATTTTCTATTTCAATCGCTACAAATGTTGCTGCCTCCCGGTGGGGGTGGTGGGCGTGGCTCCCTCCCGGACTGCTGAATGAAAACAAACTTAGGCGGACATCACAAGTCAGGGTCGTGGGAAATGTTATTAATATGAGTGACCCAGGTGCATGGCCTCAAAGTATTCCACTTATGAAAGAGCACGTCCTCAAGCCCTTTTGTGTCTACCTCACCCCCCCCCCAGGTCTGTTTTCGTTTGCTTGTTTGTTTGTTTGTTTCTTGTTTTGTTTTGCTTGTTTGTTTCCTTAACCCAGACCCTTCACACTTTACCAAGATGCCTTGGATTTTGTCAACACAGTGTGACAAGAGAATAAGTTATTTTTTTCAGTGATGTAGAGAAGAGAGCAGAGCAACGCCCCAGCAGAGCATCTTCTCGGCAGTAGCTATAGCCACTGGGAGGAAACTCTCTGGTCAGTCAGCCCATGGTTACCTAGGATCCACGAAAAAGTTCCTAAGCAAGAGCAAATGCCATCAGGTAACCATCCAGAGTAAAATCAGCTTTCGAAAGGTCCCTGGTATGTATCGGCAGGGTTTGTAAGGCAATGGTCTCTGAGGCTAATCAACTCACAGGGAGCTCTGACATGAGGGTCCCCCAAGTGAGAATCCTTTTGAAGGCTTCTCTGGGAGCATGGGTGCTGGTTAGACCCCCAATGCTTTTCATCTGTATGTCCTGTGGCTGGGGCCCTTGGAGAGGTCAGTTCAGAGGTACCTTCTGAGTACTTCCTTTCCAAGGAGGGCAAAGGAATGCAGGGCCAGGTGATGGGAGCATCCCCAGTACAGGAACACGAGGGTTCTCTGAAGAAAGCACAAACAGCTACAGCACACCTCCCAGCCTGGCAGAGTCCTCTCACAGAATGGTCCTGTTCAGGGTATGCGTGGCGGGAGTTGAGAAGCTTTGCTGACAGTTCCGGCTCCTTGCCATTGACAGCAAAGGGGATGTTTGCATTCAGCTTTTCTATGTAGAGTCAAACAGCATCTCACCGCTGAAGGGCTGGCTTGCAAACCATACTGCTGGAAACTCCCTACACACAGAAAATTGACTCCAGTCCCTTGAAAAGGTGACCCACGGTGGAGAGCGCATTGCCTCTCCTTATGGGCTCACTCTTTAGTGGTCTACCATGGTTCTGAAAGATTCTGGCTGGCTTTTCAGTGGTTTTCAGAAATACCCAAATTATCACATAATTTGGCTTTCACACATACTTAAGCTTATGCATGGGACTCAAGAGAGAGGGTCCCACATATCTGGGCATCTCTTGGGTGAGGCTTCTGAGAATACAGAGCTTTGGTAACGTTTTACTGCTATGCGCAAGAGTACCAGCGCAAGAGGACTGGACGGGGCACGTCTCCTTTGCACTTGGTGGTGACCTTGAACCTGGTACAGCAGTGGGGGCGGGTTTGGAGAGGCAGTTACATAATGCGTGGAGGACTGATACTTCCTGCGGGTTCCACCTGGGAAAGCCTGGTGTGCCCATCCTACGCCACACAGGAACGGACAAACACATACATGAGCACCCATTCTATGAAAGAAATAAATGTAGTGTGAAAAAAATGAAACATCATCCCAAGGTGCACTGTGCACAACACATCCCCACCTGCCCTCTCCCTGGACCGGGGAAAGCGGCATCCAGAGGCAGTGAATGATGTCAGCATCTTGGTACATTCAGAAGGATGGTGCCGGCAACAGATAAGGTACATCCATTTCAAGGCTGAAATGTTGATGATTCCTTGGGTCCCCTCCTCAGGAGGTACCCACACTGTGCCCACACCAAGCAGACCTCCAATGTCAAGGTCTCTAAGAGCCCACGTGGGTAATGCATGCAATAAATAAGTGTGGCTGCAGAGCTGGCCCTCTGGAGATTGTCACTTGCAGAGGACCCCGTTTTGAAGTGGTCTGTTTCTGTCAGCGATACAAGAAGAGGTGGCGACGTGGGGCAGGTCTTCCTTGACCTTGGGAGAATGGCTACTGTTGTTACTGGAGCTTGATTTACTTCTGCTTGGGTCAAGAGCAGGCTGCATGGGTGAGGCCTGGGTCCCCTTGCCCGTGACTAGACAGCCACACACCAGCCTGAAGAAGGCACGCCGCATCTCTTTGCTGGCCAGAGTGTAGATGACAGGGTTCATGGCAGAGTTGAGGACAGCCAGCATGATGAACCACTGACTCTTGAACAGGATGGAACACTCCTTCACCTTGCAGGCCACGTCAATGAGGAAGAGGATGAAAAGGGGGGACCAGCAGGCGATGAACACACTCACCACTATCACTACAGTCCGGAGCAGGGCCATGGATCTCTCAGAGTTGTGGTTGGCCACCCTTCGGCTGCTGGACTTGACCAGGAAGTAGATGCGCGCGTACAGGATGACGATGGTCACCAGGATGGCTGTGAAGATGCTGATGAGGAAGGCAATGTACTTCTTGGAGTAGAGGGGCAAGATGGTAGAGCAATCAGCAAAGTTCTCCAGGCAGTTCCAGCCCAGGATGGGCAGGGCGCCCAGCGAGAAGGCAATCAGCCAGCACATCCCAATCAGAAGGAACACACGGTGCTTCTTGTTGGCGTCATAGGGCCTCATCTTGATCATGGTCAGGTGCCGCTCAATGGCAATGGCTAATAAACTGCAGGTGGACGCGCCGAGGGCTACAAACATACTGCCCTCCCTGAGGAACCACACTGTCGGAGACAGGCTGAACGTCTTCCTACCGGACATCAGAATGTTGACTTTGTAGGCGATGCCGGCCAGCAGGTCGCAGAGAGCCAAGTTGCCAATGAAAAAGTACATGCGGTTGTGAAATTTATTGTTTTTCCAGATGGCAATCAAAACCATCAGGTTCTCCAGGACGATGAAACTACAGGTGACCAAGAAGAGGATGGTAGTGGTGTGAGTACCACCGTCAGGGGGGTCCTGCCTGCCTTCCAGCTTCCCCACGTAATCGTAATGTTTCCGGAGAGTATCATTCCCTAAAATGGGCTGATGGCCCTGCGCATGCGTTGCCATGACTTCCTCTAGACAGATGGTTATTTCAACAGTCCACGAGAGGGCGCTCCAGGAACGTTCATTTCAGGAAACAATTGGGACCGTGGTGGCGGATTCCGGAAGGGCTGCAGACCTGGATCCATCAAGAGTATAGAAAATAGACTCTGTAAGGGGATGAAAGTAGAGGAAACCTTAGATCATGTGATCGCCATTAATTGACACTCCGTGTGGAAAACGCAAAACGCATGGGAAGGATGTGCCGAGAGGACTGGGAACACAGGCCAGGTTTCCAAGCTAGAGATCAGGGAAAGCTGTTAGGGGGCGGTGGCTGTCAGAAGAAACCTTGATGTGATGTGCCAGTCTGAGAATCAGGAAAGCAAGGCGGAAGATGTGAGCAAGCTTCCACCTGGAAACCTCCAGGCACCAGGAAATACTGAGTGAGTTCTCACCGGCCGTGTGGGAACTGGTAAACCACTACTCCCAGCTGCAGAGGAATCAGATTTTTCTCAGGATGAGAAAAAGAGAGAGAGAGGAAGGACAGAGGGGAGGCTGAGAAGTAGGAAAGGAGGGGTAGAGAAAAACAGGACACAGTAGGGGGAATGGTGTCCGGGGTTCTGAGTCCTCCCTGAGGGGTTTTGGAGTGACACCATGGGAAGCACCCCTTATTTCTTGGATTAGTTCCCTTGAGGTCTGTAAGGGCCTTTGGCCCACCTGGCAGAGAGCCTTAAGGCCTGACCACACAGACAGGGCAGGAAGAGCAGGCTGAGGCTGAGCAAGAACCCTGAGGCCACTGCACTGAGCAGAACTCCGAGAGGAAGGACTGCAAACTGTCCTGGAAGCAGCTGCCACTGAGGTTAAAGGAAGAAGGGGAGGGAAATTACATGAACTTTGAGTGTGGCTTGAAAGGCAGAGGTCTGGGCTGGGTGTATTAATTAGCGTCTTTAGAAGGCCTGTGGATAGAAAGAACACACAGAGAATTATTGTAAAGGCCTTGACTGCAAGCACCAGGCCCTGAAGAAATTGTGTGTGTGTGTGTGTGTGTGTGTGTGTGTGTGTGTGTTGCAAATGCATGCATATGTGCGCTCATGCATGTGTGTGTCACTGAACCTGGAGCTCACCCATGCAGCCATGTTGGCTGACCACTGAGCTCCAGGGATCCTTCTTTCCATCTGGGTGCTGGGGGCCTGACCTCAAGTTCTGATTCATGTTCACACAGCAAGCTCTTTCCTAACAGACACCTCTCAGTCCTGTCCACCGGCCCCTGGAAGCATTAACCCGACTCGTGACACATCTCCATTCTACTCCGCGGTTCTGAGGCTCAGCAGATCAGCTGTGAAGGCTTGATTCCCACAGATTTACTCTTCATTTTTATTTGTAGTTGACACACATCATTGTATGTCTTTGTGGGTGCAGTGTGGCGATGTGTGTATACCATGGGGCACGGTCAAAGCAGAGCCGGTAGCATTCTCCCCTCCTTAAACATTTGTGAGTTTGAGACTCCTGTCTTTGAATTCTTTATTGTTCTGAACCCGAGCCAGCTCACTCTGCTGCGGAACTCTAGGACGGATTCCTCTGCCCAGCTGTGTGTAGCCTCTTTCTGTTCCTCCCAACCCCCTTTCTAGACTCACTCAGTTTAAATTAATATTGCCAGATTCTTAAATATCTAATGAGGTCCAGGTGGGGTGAATTGAGCACAGTCCCTTTTTGCGTACACAGTGAGGGTTCATTCACAGCATTTAAGCTCCAGCCCTAAATGTGGCTCCGAGGCACAAAGATCAACATGACAGGTCCTCGCCCACCACCAGAAGTTTCTTCCACAGGTCTGCGGGGACTTTAATCCCTGGAGGGTACCAGTGGTTCCTCCATGGGTGGTGCTGGGGGGCTGAGAGGAAAAGGTAACTCCAGAGGGGCTCTGCACCCTGTGACCCCTCTATCAGCAGCAGGGACCGCACAAGCCTTTCCTTTCTCTGTAACTCGGGAGGCCTTAGCGTTGGTGACATTGGGACGAGGAGGCCCATGGCTTCTCGGCAGGGACGTCTTCTAGCTTCCTGGCCCTCAGAGACACGTGTTATCCTGGAATCCCCAGGAACTGTCTGAGTTCGTGTCTACATTCTACCCCGAATGGCTCTTGGCCGAGTCCAGCTGAGAGCTGCCTGGGATAGCAGGGGGCATGGGTCAAGCTTTAGGCAGTCTTCGTTCAAACTCAAAGAGCAGCTCTGAGGATGAGATGCAGTGACACAGAGAGGGCTCATCTGTCAGGGCCCCTGTCATCCATTGAGTCCTCCTCTCACCCAGCCAGGTTCCCCACTGGGCCTTGAAATGTCTCCCTGAGGCAGGTCGGGCAATTCTGCCAGTCCCTTTCTATTCTTAGCCATGCTGCTGCTGGTGGTGGTTGTGGTGGTGGTGGTGGTGGTGGTGGTGGTTCTTATGGTGGTGATACTGCTGCTGCTGCTGCTGGTGGTAATGGTGATGATTCTCCTCCTCCTTTTATGACAGTGGGTATCATATAACCTAGCCTGACCTAGAAGTTGCTATGGTGACCTTGAACTTCTGGACCCCCCCCCCCCCCGCGCCTCTGCCTTCCAAGTGCTGAGATTACCATACTCAGTTTTATGCAGTGCTGGGGTTTGAACTCAGAGCCTCTTGACTGCTAAGTGAACGCTCACCCCAACCCACCCCTCCAGAGTTTTATTTAAGCCTTGTCTGTCTGTCTGCCTGTCACATCCTACTCATCTTTTGGCATCTTTGAGGGTCTAGGAAGCCCCTTTACACCAGGCTGCTATCACTTTAAGAAAAATCTTGCAAGCTCTCACTTGAAGACGAGAAATTCTAAGCAGCCTCAGTTTTCTGAGATGCGGCAGCATACCCGACAAAAGCCACTTCTGAAAAGAAGGGTTTATCTGGCTCGCAGTTCAAGGGTGTGGTCCACTGTGGTGGAGCAGGGCTGGCAGTCACATTGCATCTACAGTCAGGAAGCAGAGAGAGGGGAATGCTGGTGTTTAACTGGCTTTCTTATTCATTCCGGGACCCCATCCTATGGAATGGGGCTGCCCGCACAGTTCAATTAACTTGAACTAGAAAGTAGACTGGCCCACAAGTTTGTCACCATGCTGATTCTAAATGCCATTGAGCTGATAGTCAAGATTAGACACAAGAGGCAGGAAGTGGCGTCATCATGACCAGTGTCCAACCACATGTCCTGTGGGGGCTGACCCCTGTCACAGCGGCTGTCACAGTTCCTCCAGTTCCTCCAGATGCGGGAGGAACTATCCCACACTATGCTCTGTCCCCATCATGTGACTAGCTGTGTGTGCCGTGGGCAATGCCACAACGCCCAGGTTTGTCTCAAAATGTCCCTGGGCTGTCTGCTCTGCCATCAGGGGTTTCTGTCCCAGGAATGGACCATAGCACAGGTGGGAACTGATATTCAGCTCCAGGTTTCTCGTTCTCTGGAGAAGATGAGTAAACTTAGGTTAACTTTTGTGTATACATGAGTACACCATGTGTGGGAGCCAGGGGTCAATCTCGGGTGTTGTCCTCGGAGGCTGACTACCTTGGGTGTTTGTTTGTTTTGAGACAAGGTCTCTCACTGGCCTGGACCTGCTTAGTAGGCTTGACTGACTGGTCAGAAAGCCCAGGATTCCTCTGGTCTCTGTCTCTCTAGCACTGAGATTACAAACCTGTGCCACCACGCCCATCTTTTTCACGGGCAGTCTGGGAATTGAACTCAGGTCCTCACGCATGAGAGGCAAACACTTTACCGACTGAGCCATCTCCCCAGCCCTCAGGATGTCTCCCGTGTCTCGCTTTCCCAACCTCCCACAGCACTTGACACACCTCATCGCTCCCTGGAAAGTCTGGGCTTTTGCCTCAAGTGTGAGCAGAGGGGAAAAGAGCCCCTTTAAGTCACCCCGATCTGGGCTCCCTCTCAGAGAAACAGAAGGCAAAGAAACACAGGGATCTCTCTCAGCAAGTGCACAGAGAAGGTTGAGCAGGGTGAAAGAAAAACAGGGGAGCAGTGAAAGCAAACACCTAGCAATTAAATAACCGCAGTAAAAACGAGAGCAGACGTGCCAGGACTTGTGAAGGCCAAAGGCCTGCAGGCTAGCCCGCTTTGCCACTAAAGCCTGGACAACGTTTCCCTTAATTAAAATGCATCTCTCAAGCAACTGAGGTTTTACAGAGCATCTTTCGTTAAATATGATTCTCTGCATTTGCAATTTGAAGCTATCTGCTTCTTTGGGACCTAAACATATATTTTCTCTGGTTTATCAATCTCACAAGGCTTGCCACATCCTGGGAGCTAAGTCTTGAACTAAATATCAGATGGACACATCTAGATATCACTGTGCCTGGGCCCAAGTAGGTCCCAGGAGCTCTTCCTTCTGTTCCCAAGGGCTGCCACCCACAGATCTCCACTTTGCTAAAAGAAGGTCTGAGCCTTGGGTACCAGTGAGCTCTTCTTAGGACTAGGCATGATGTCTCAGTACAGTTGCCAAGTCATCAGAGGAAGGCACCAGGAAGCCACACTCAGACAACCAAAACACCCTGAGATCACACTCATAGCAGCAGCAGGCCACCAGGGGTCTCTACTGGTCACCACTGTCACTGCGTGACCACTGTCTGGGTTTCCCACCCCATTTACCCTGTTTCTTCCAGTATATAAATGAACACATGGGATACCTCATATCTGGTATCTTTCCCTCCCCTGGATGCTCATGTGAACCACACCTGTGGATGGAGCCAAACCCTTCTTGCTCTCAGTCTGCACATCACCCTCTATAGGGTCTGACTTACAGACAATGGCAATTTCTCCCGCAGCCAAGTGCTGTTTCTTACACATTCTTTTGGTGAACAGGTGCCTCCATCTCTGCTGGCCACCCTTGGTTTCTAAGGGGCCCTCTGGCATAAAGGGTGGGCTGAAACCATGACTAGGAAGTGATGGTCTCTCTGGCACGTAGCTGTCTAGTTCGGCCTGTGAAATGGGCCAAGGTGCCCCCGTGGCAGGCCAGGAGGATGTGTCAGACAGTCTTGCACTGTACTTTGGAGAAGCAAAGGCACCGGGAACTGGACTGCTGATTCGTTTCTCCTGGAACAAAGGGAAGCTCCTGGCTGGGGAGATGGCTCAGAGGGTAAGGCACCTTCACTCTCTGTGAGAGTTGAGAACCTGGGTTTGAGTCCCCAGGTGGCTTGTAAAGCCAGGCATGATGGTGGTGCACTTCTGAAATTTCAACACTCCCACACTAGCTGGGAGACAGAATATACCAGATTTGCCAGCACATGGGCTAGCCTGGGATACATAGGCGTGAACAACAAAGAAGACTCTCTCCCAAACAAGATAAGAGGCAAGGACTGACAACTGCAATTGTCCTCTAACCTCTACACACATGCTGGCAAACATTAGCGTGCACGTGCACGTGCACACACACACACACACACACACACACACACACTTCACACAGGATTTTTTTTTTTAAAGAAATCCACTATTAGCTGGGTGGTAGAGGTATACGCCTTTAATCCCACACTCAGGAGGCAGAGGCTGAGGGATCTCTTGGGAGTTCAAGGCCAGCCTGATCTACAGAGTGAGTTCCAGTACAGGCTCCAAAGCTACTCAGAGAAACCCTGTCTTGAAAAACAAAGCAAAACAAAACAAAACAAAACAAAGAAGAAGAAGGAAGAAGAAGAAGAAGAAGAAGAAGAAGAAGAAGAAGAAGAAGAAGAAGAAGAAGAAGAAGAAGAAGAAGAAGAAGAGAATAAAGAAATCTGATGTTGAGATTGTGGCCATACACAAACTAGTTTGTATGTCTTCTAAACTGTTAGCATGTTCCATGGATGGGGAGGTCCCTAGGTAGAGGAACTCCTTCAGCAGATCCCCCTGCAGCCTGGTGCCTGTGTTCCTCAGCACACTCCCAAGGTGTGCACTAGCAAGCACCCTGACCCCTGCAGACTCCTGGCCCCCTCTGATCAGATGGGGGAATGAACTGGAGCCCTCAGTCACTCTGTGGGGTGACTCTGTGGGGACCACTGTTCACATTTGAGCTGTCCTTGCACCCGTCACCTGAACCTTCTCACTTTGGCCTCGTGATGCTGGGGTCACACAGTTTTCCTTGAAGCACTCTTAACACCAACATATTTTCTTTTTGCCAAGAAGGAAGGAGACGCCTTGACCAAATGGCTCCACGGTGGGTGACCCCACACAAGACCCCACCAATATTAGGCATGCCTACCCGCCCCCAATCCAAAAGCAGTATTCCCTGGGGGAAGCGAGCCTGGGAGAGGGGTCCGATGGATTCCAGATGTGCCTTCTACTCCAGCGACTCACTTTCTCCATATGTCAGTTATAAAGTAAACAAACTATAAAAAGAAGGAAAAGGAGGGGGAAATATATCTGCTGTCTAGTGTTTTCCCCCTCTCCTTCTCCCTCTCCCTCCCTCTCTCCCTTCTCCTCTCTTTTATTCTTTTCTTCCTCCTTCTCAGAGAAAAAGAAATCTCCTTTGGTCAAAGGAAGGACTCCATGTTTGCAAAGACAAGTCCTTCCAGAAACATCAGTGACCTCATCCTCCAAACTGAATTAAAGCATCCAGTATTTGACAGTGAGCAATATTTCTTGGAAAGCTGGAGTTTGCTTCACTTTCTTTTTCATTTAAAAGAACCGAGAATTGAAATAACCAGCGGGCCAGTTTATGGCTCCCAATCCTGGAAAGTTCCTTTGCTAATGAGTCCCTTCACTCTGTTTTTTTGTTTTGTTTTGTTTTTTTGTTTTTGTTTTTTTGTTTTGCCTTGACCTCACTCTGCCTCCAGAGACAGTCAGCCCAGGATAGAATGGAGGCTTCATTCCCACAGCCTCACACTAGGCTCATCAGTGAAGCGCCCTGTGAGTTAAAGGTTACAGATGAAAGCCCAGATGAAGGCTTCCCATGGCTCCCACTGTTCTTCCTGCAAGCACGGATACATAGAGTCCCTCTGCCTGCTGGGGCTTTCCAGGGCCCGCTGTCTGCTGTACAAGGCCTTCTTATTAGCAAACAAGATGGCGTTACAGATGCAGATGTGGGCCAAGAGATCCCAGATGTGGAGGTCATGTCCCAAGAACGTTGGGTCCCCTGTGAACGTCCTGAGTCAACAGACTCATCTGTAAGATGGCATCAGATTATGATGCAAAGTCTGTATTTTTTTTCCTTCATTGCCTGCCTATCAGTCATTTCAAATTTTCCCTACAATGCTTGTTCTCGGCAAGGGCAGGGAATCAACTTACCGCCAAGCTTCCAGGAAATGAATGTAGCTCTATGGAAATAGGTTCCATCAGAAAGTTGAAAGCATGCACAAACATGTGGTCTCCTGCCCAGGAAATCCATCCTGGTCACTCCATGACACGTCTAGTCCCCAAGAGAATGTGTGGTTTCTGAATGGACATGAGGGAAACTGAGGCTGGGAGGGATCATGACTTCTTAGTGGCAGAGCTTAGCAGGCTGGCTGCCAGGGCATCTGTTCCAGCCCATCCCTTCAGGGATAAGCTTTTTATGAGTCAGTCACTTGTCATAGGTCCCTTAACTAGGAGGTGCTAAGAGCCTCTGAAGTGCCTTTGCAGCCCAATTGCTTGAAGCTACTGGAATGCCAGTCTGGGAGCTTTGGTGGAGTGTTTGGATAACTCTAAAGACAAGAGAATGGAAGGCCATCCGAAGCCAAGGGACACTTCTTCCAAGCACTGTGAAAAATCTTTTAGAATACTATGACCTGGACCCAAAGCTGATAGACATGCAGGTGTGGGGGTAGCCATGATGATAAGACTCAGGGACCCCAGCACCATATCCCAGCTAACACAAAGCGCTTGTTTAAGAGTGGCCATCAGTCTTTGGTAGAAAAGGGGGATTCAACTGCCACAAGGAAACCCCAACATTTTCAAAATTGTGATGTGCTCAAATCTTTATTGGTCTTGCAGCAAAAAGCTATAGGCATCGAAAAAGAGATCTGTGAAACAAAGGGTCATGGTTTCCAGAGAAAGGACCAGTCCCTGATTCATGGGAAGCAGGTCATAGGGCCAGTACAGAAACCTTCACAGGAAACGAGAGTTCCTACATCCAAATATGGTAGAGAACAAGAAGGATCATGTATGAAAAAGCTCATAGAGAATAAATGACATTGAGAAGATGCTGAGTGGTTATAATGTCATTCTCCCCATACCGGAGGGGAGTCCCCGAGGGTGGGCTTTGCAGGTGGACTCTTTGGTGTGTCTGGAGGCAGAGTGATGCTGGCTGGATGTGAGCATCTACTGGTCTGCAGATGGGAGGACCCAATGTGGGGTTCTATGGCAACATAGTTCACCTCAGCACTGAGCTCTGCACCCCATAAGATGCTTACAGATCTAGATACCTCTATAGCTCTTCAAACAGCACACACACTCACGCACATACACACACACGCATACTCATGCAGACTCTCACACATATTCCCATACTCACACACACTTGCACACACATACACATGCTCACACTATCTCACACAAATACACATATTCATATACACTCTCATATACACACATACATACACACACTCACATACACATAAAGCACTACCACCACCACCATCACCTCAGCAAGACAGCCCTGACCAAAGCCACACTTGCCAGTCATTTACCTGCAGTAACCTTTGTTAAGTAACCCTTGGCTCCACTTTCTAGGAATTAAACCCCGTCTGCCTGGTTTTCACCTATGCAGGAAGGAACTTTGACTAGATAAGTTTTGTGCGTAGAGATATGCAACACCGTAGACTTTAAATCTGACTGCAGATTTTAGAAGGACCAGGAACTCTGGAGGTCTCTGAGCACTGGTTAGGGGCAGGGGTACAGGGTGGAAGAGCCCTCCGCTCAGGGTGATGTTACTGTGACGGTGGAAGCAAAGCATTCCCTTTGAACAGCTGACAAGAAGTCCCTCTTACATCAAAGTATAAGGAATATGGCATCAGGAATGGCCAAGGCCAGAGAGACGGGGACACAGAGATCATGCGCAGGCTTAGGGCCAACAGCCACCCTTCCCTCTATTCTATCTCAGTTAAGAACGGCATGCCAGTTCCTCTGGGAAGCTCATTATCTCATTCAGGCACCTTTGTATTCCAGCTCCAGCACTGACAGCCCCAACCGCCTAGTTTGAAAACTGCTTAGAAAACTGGGATTTTGTAGCTAATAAAACTTAAAAGAACGGCACACACACCACACACCGCCCAGAAAAAACTACAGCCGCCCCCATCCCCAGGTTTTCTTCCCATGAGGACTTCTAACTTCTGAATTAGCCACGTAAAGCGAGGGAACTTGGAGAGCCTGCTCTCTACGCTCCGGGTTTACATTTTAAAAGACCTGGTTGTAATTTAAAAGAATCCTATACCCCTCCACCAGCCCTGGGAGGCAGCTAGGTCACCGGAGTGAATGACCTGTAGAAGTGGAGGAGGTGGCCCGATTTGAGGCTTTCGCGAGCCGGGTCACTATCGTGCCCCGACTTAGTTGGAATTTTATCTGAAAAGTGGTATGGGTGGACCCAGAGCCGCTCAGCCCGCAACTAGAATTTGTACAAGCCCCGGCGGGATTCCGTCGCTCACCTCGGTCTGCAAAGCGTTTCTGGACTGGCTGCATCCTGCGGTATCTTAGCTAAGGCTCCAGTCTAGGGTCTCCGAAGGTTGCTCGTGGTCTCAGGTTTCCCTCTGGGTCGTCCGGCCACCTCGCTCAGCACCCGGACCATGTCGCCTTCCCCTAAACTCTCTCACCCAGACTCTGCCCCAGAGGATCCGATGGCAAACTTTTGCAACGGCCCTCCGGGGCGGGGCCCAGAGTCACCCCGCCTCCTGCCGCCCCTAACCCAAGCTTTGGCCAGCTGGTCCCCTGCTACATCGCGTCCCCAGCCACGTCCCCGCCCCGGGCCACGTCCCCGCCCAGCCTCTCTGCCAGTCTGCCGCACCCGGGCTGTCAGGACCCGAGGCTGGGGCTCTTCACCCCTTAGGACTCCCCGTGCCCCTATTCCTCCACCGACCCCCTCTCCCGCCCCTTCCCACACTCACACACAAAAAACCTGGATCCTGACCCAGGGTCTTCCGTCTATCCTGCAAATTCTCCGTGCTCCAGGACCCAGCAGCTGCAGACACCGAAATGGATGCAGAACTGGGCTTGGGTAGCCTGCCTAGGTGGCCAGCAGGATTTGAGCGGATCTGTATTAATAGTCTGTCTCCCCTCAAGGCGACTAGAGGAATCATTGCCTTGATAGGGACCGGTTCAGTCTGAAATGGACCGTCTACGGACTTGAGCTGGTGAAGCCAAGCTCTTCTGGTCCTCTGGCTCCCCACCCCCACCCCATCCCTCTACCAGCTGCAAGGAAGGGACCCCTGAGTCACTTGCGCGCGTGTCTTGCCCATCTTAGTAGCTCTTATCTCCGTCACACCCCAGCCTACTCCTGTGCTCTGGGCAAGTCTCACCCCGCCATGCCGGAAGAAAGAATCTTTGGAAGGGAACCACCGCTCAGTTGTCAGTTACAAAGGAAACGCAAAGGATCTCCAGATCAGCTTAGGGAGGGAAAGAGGAGAGAAAGCAGGGCATGGCTAAATTCCTGAGCAGGCAGGGTCCAGGTCCTTCTCACCTCCTCTCAAGTGCTTTCTTGCCTACAGAAGATGAACTAGGAGCAGGAAACTGCTTACTTGGTATTCAGCTGGCATGGGAAGGCAGAACTTGGCTGGCCTTGGCCTTCTCTGTTGCCTGGTGAGAAACACAAGCCCTCAGGGTCAGAAGCCCTGCCTTGGCTGCACAGTGGCAGTGTGATTCCCCTGAGCTCTGGAAATTCGCTTCGTGTCTCGGAAGCTATTTCTCTCCCTGAATGCAACGGGAATGAGTGTGTCTCGGTGTGTTTGACGCCTACAACATCCCGTTAAAGAGGAGGCTACTGGTGTCGAAGATGCTTCTGTAGCCACTACAGCCACTTCCTGTGGCCACTGTGCCTTGGCCTACCGAAAGGCCCAGTCTCTGACTGTTTCCCGTTGTGTCTCCATCACTGCCGTGGCTGGTAGAGGTGTGGTTTTTACAGCATCTGTATTCCTGATAGGACAGGGTGACCCTCAGTTCCTGTGGCAGTCCTTCCAACGCCAGCCGCAGAAATCAGTCTCCCACAGCCTCAGAGTACCAGGTTTCACTGCTAACAACAGGTTTTCCTAAGAGTGATTTCCCCCACAGCATCCCCGAGGCGTCCCAGAAATCTGTACTTCAGTGAAGCGTCTTTTCTCCAGAGATTCCCAGCCAGAAGCAACTGCCTTTCCAGTCCAGGCCTGATGGAATGCCCACTCTGTCTACTGTGCTAAAGACCTTACCACTTCTGTTCTTCTGTATCAGGACTTTAAAGTTCAGACACTCAGTTCTCATAATGGGTCTCCAGGTTCATAGATCCCACTACAGACAGACTTCTCTGACTGAGTCTCCTGAGAGAAGAAGCCCTCCTGTCAAGTTTATAGACTGAAAGTCTTCCCTATTTATTGCTGACTGATGAGAGAAAGCCAGTTCACAAGCTCAGCAGAAATGGGGGAGTTAGGGAATTCTTGTTCTGCGACCATCCTGAAAAGATAGAGTTGGATAAGAGAGACTTTTAGGTGAAAGTGTGTGGGACAGTGTGCTGATCACACAGCACTGGCTGGAAACGAAGCAGTGTTTTCTGTGGAGACGTCAGATCATTCTGTGGCCTCTAGACTGAGCCTTGGGGTACCTCGACACTTTCTGAGCGTCATTCTCCAGGCTTTTGTGAGGGTGTTTGGTTGAGAAGAACACCTGGCTGTCACAGCAGAGGGCTGGTCGGTGTGGGGTGAGCTTTGCCCAATCCCTCTGACATGGCTAGACCGTTCCGAAGACAAAGGCCAATCTGAAGACAAAGCTAAACAGCAGCCCCCGCTGATGGCCTTTGGCTTGTCCACAGCAGTGCACATGGATTCAGGCTTGAGTTGGCACATGAGCTGCACAGAGTTTGCATTTGTTACTTTCGTGAATGAGTCAGTCTCTCCTGGCAGGTGTGTTGGTGTTACATGTGTGTGCATTCATGTATATATTCCACTGGATTGTTTTTCTGAAGAACACTGATTGCTGGAATCATGGTCCCAGAGGGGGGAATAAAAAAAGATGAATTCTTTACAGATAGACACCCTTGGAGAAAACGTTCTCTTGAGGCAGTGTTGGGGACGTGGCTCTTACGGTCACTCGGCGACTTGATAGACAGCCTCAAGCCACTTCCTCTCTGCCGACTTGCACCACACAGATTGTGCGAGAGGTGGCTTTATGCTCAGACCTGGATGTGGGCTTGCAGAAAGGGACATGGCCCTGCATGTCACAACCCTATTTGGACCCACAGTGAGCCTTTGACTCACTGCCACATCCTTCAGGGGGGAGTTCATTCCATGACAGCCATCTGCCAACGCCAAGTGACTGCAGCACCTTGTCCCCATCACCACCCTCCTACTCCATCCCCTGTCGTCATCCCTGAGGTCAGCCAGAAGTTCCGGGAACCATTCCTCTCACAGTTCATGTTTCAGAAAGAAGTTGCTGGCCTTCAGAGGCATAACTCATATACACCGTGCCCTTGTGGTGTGAGCGCTGGGAGGAAGTGTGTGTGTGAGATGTGGTGTTTGCGCAGTGTGTAGTTTGTGATGTAGTGTGCTGTGCCTGGGCATGCCTGAATAGCGTGTGTCTGTGCAGTGCATCTGCAATGTAGTGTCTGTGTGTGTGAGTGTGGTGATTCGTGTAGTATGCGATGTGTGTGCACTAGTGAACTTGTATGTGATTGTGTGTTTGTATGATGTATATGCGTATGTTTCTGAGGTATGTGGTGTGTGATGTACATGTTTGTGTGGTGTATCTGTAGTGAGTGATGTGTGAGTATGTGTATATAGCGTGTGATGTATGCATTTGTATATGATGTGGGTGTACTGCATGTTGTGTGTTTATGTGTGTGATATTTGTAATAGACGTGATATGTATGGGGGCATGGGGGTGCATGCTGGGAAATGTGTTAACTCTTTATGGAAGATAATTACAAGTGCCCTGAAGTTTAAAAGGAGATTGACATTTGGCCTGCGGGGCTCCAGTGACAGCTTCCAAATCCTGAGACGGACTCTCCTCTTTCTGCTAGCAAGATGACTAGAGGGTTAGTGTGAGGGTAGAGTCCAAATATAGAAAAGTCAACCATGGGGTTAGAGGTGTGAAACCTTCAGCCTCTCCCCTGATCTCCACAGCAGGGAGGGTTGGGACAGTCCGGTCAACAATAGCCAGCGCTGGCTGCACCACTGGGGACAGAAGCCAGGGATGTCGTTGACTGCATCGCTCTAGGCTCCATCAAAGACCCACACCAGAGTCAGAGAGCTCCAGAAGGGTGAGCAGGTGGAGAAGGGGCAGGGGCTCCACACGCTTTGCCAACTTTGCTCGCCCCCTGCCACAGCTCTTCATCTGGCTGGTCCTGAGCTGTGTCCTCTGCAACAAACCATTATTCTAGTGAACAAAAAGCGTTCCTGACTTGGGGAGTTATTCTGAGGAACTCTGAAATCAAGGGTCATGAAGAGTTTCAGATCAGCACTGTGTGGGTGAAAACGTGAACCACTGTCTACAGCGTGGGGGGGGGGTGGTCAGAACCCACATCATCCTCGCTACCTCTGGGCATGGGACAGCAGGCACTGTGGGCTTTAGAGAAACAAAGAGCGGATCAGCTCTGGAATGATGCATTCTTCCTTGGTGGAAACAGCTAACGGAGACCCTGGTCAGAAACAGTCACGTGCTCCCTGTTTTCTGGCATCAGGGTCTACTGCCAAGGTAGGGCTTCCCCAGTGTCCCTCATAGTCAACTGAAGGAGCCCATGTCCAAGGAGGAAGTGAGCATCCTGCTTTCTGTCACCAGGATGTTTGTCACCCTCACCTCCTCCAGAATTCTGCAGCTTTCTCATGCTGTCAATCACCCAAGCCCCAGAGAGTCTGGCTGGGAGCAGGACTTAGCGAGTCCTCTCCCAGGTTAATGTGTCTGAGCTTTGCAGGTTCTCATTTCCTCTAAGCTCTAGAACTTCCCCATGTCTGTGTCTCCAGGGTAATCATCTCAGCGTCCACAGTTCATAGCCCACCTCCGTGTTTTATCATAGACAGTTACCCTGTGCTTATATTGGAGAGATTCAACAAGAGGTATACCGTCACAGAATTGCCCAAGATGCAAGAAGAGGGAAAAATCTGAGTCTGAGTTTGAGTACTGTGAGTAGGAACGGGGCGTGTTTGTGGGTATATTAGCACTCTTGTGATAAGACGCTATGACGGTCCTTCATATGAAGATGGCAGGGAAGGCGCCCGTCCGTTTTTGTAAATTTGTGTGAGTCTGTCATAGAGAGTGATTCCCCATCTAGTCATTCTCAGAAGCCACATAGATGGTTCCAGAAGCCCCTCAGATGCCTACACCGGTAACTGTTCAAGTCAAAATGGTGTGAACTTGCATTCAGCCTGTAATCGGTCTCCCATAGGCTTTGCATTTGTTGTTGTTTTGTGAATACATGTGTGCACAGGATGTGTGCAAGTGAATGTGTGTATGAGTGGGCACGCCCCCGTGTGTGCATATTTGAAGGCCAGTGACAGACATTGAGGTATCTTCTGCTACCACCATGGGTTTTCTTTTTCTTTCTTTCTTTCTTTCTTTCTTTCTTTCTTTCTTTCTTTCTTTCTTTCTTTCTTTCTTTTTCAGACAGGGTCCCTCACTGAATTTGATGCTCGCTAATTGGCTAAACTGGCTGGCCAGAGCTCCAGGGATCCTGATGACTCTGCTTTCCCAGCTCTGGGACTATAATAGATCAAC